GCTTAAGAAATATACGTAAACTGTACTCTCGTACTAAACAACAATTCCTTTCCAATCAACCTCATGCCTGTATCAATAAAAAGTTTTAAAGTTATCATAGGCATGGATTGGTTGAGTTCTCATCGTGCGGACATTTTATGTTACGTAATGGCCGTTCGCCTTAATCTGCCAGATGGCGAAACCCTTGTTATTTATGGCGATAAGCCTAGTACAAATCTTCGTATCATCTCGTGCGTCAAAGCTCAAAAATACTTACGCAAGGAATGTCATGCATTCTTGGCACACGTAGTAGACATAAAGCGAGGAGTAGAAGACATCAAGAGCGTGCGTGACGTCTGTGATTTTCCTGGCTTTTTTCCCGAAGATCTTCCAGGAGTACCACCTACAAGACAAGTTGAATTAAGAATTAACTTAGTCCCTGGAGCCACCCCCGTAACCAAGGCACCGTATCGTTTAGCCCCAACAGAGATGCAAGAATTATCCAGTCAACTGGACGAACTGCTCAACAAAGGATTCATCAGATCAAGCTTCTCACCTTGGGGAGCACCAGTTCTGTTCGTGAAGAAGAAGGACGGATCGTTCAGAATGTGCATCGACTACCGGGAGCTAAACAAACTCACCATTAAGAACCAGTATCCCCTTCCTCGAATAGACGATCTGTTCGATCAACTCCAAGGGGAAATTACTTTTCAAAGATCGACCTGAGATCAGGATATCACAAGCTACGAGTCCTGGAGAGTGATATTCCTAAGACAGCTTTCCGAACAAGATACGGTTACTACGAATTTGTAGTGATGCCTTTCGGACTAACCAATGCACCCGCCGTGCTCATGGACTTAATAAACCAGGTATATCGTTCCTTCATGGACAAATTTGTGATTGTGTTCATAGATGACATACTCATTTATTCAAAGAGTAAAGATGAACACAGTCAGCGCCTTAGAAAAGTCTTGGAGACACTACGAGCAGAAAAACTATATGCTAAGATCTCGAAGTGCGAGTTTTGGATTAGGAAAGTAGACTTCCTAGGTCACGTGGTCAGCGAAGAGGGAATCCACGTGGACCCTTTCAAAATTAAAGCAATAGAAAACTGGTCAGCACCTAAGACGCCTACGAAAATTCGCCAATTTCTAGGCCTCGCTGGCTACCCCGAAGATTCATCCAAAACTTCTCGAAGATAGCAAAGCCACTTACCACCTTGATACAGAAGGGTGTGGCCTTTGTTTGGGAAGAGAAACAGGAGAAAACATTCAAAACGCTAAAACAAGCCCTGTGCAGCACACCCATTTTGTCTCTCCCAGAGGGGACCGAAGACTTCATAGTATACAGCGATGCATCCAATCAAGGACTGGGTTGCGTACTGATGCAATGAGGAAAGGTTATTGCTTACGCCTCACGACAACTAAAAACACACGAGGTCAACTACACCACTCATGACCTAGAGCTTGGAGCAGTTGTGTTCGCTTTGAAGATTTGGAGGCACTACCTATACGGTACAAAGTGCACCATCTTCACAGACCACAAGAGCCTTCAACACATATTCGACCAGAAAGAGCTAAATAGTGGCGAATTCCCTAAGTCGAAAGGAGTACTCTAGTCGAAGAGTGAAAGCGCTAACCATGAGAATCCATTCACAACTGTCTACGCAAATCAAGGAAGCCCAACTAGAAGCCTTGAAACCTGAAAACGTGATAGGTGAAGCACTTAGAGGAATGGACAAAAATTTAGACATGAAAAGTGACGGAGTTCGTTATCTCATGAACCGAATATGGGCACCGAAGTTTGGTGGATTAAGAGAGGTGGTCATGAATGAAGCACACAAGACTCGATACTTCATATATCCAGGTTCGGATAAGATGTATCTGGATCTCAAACAACTCTATTCGTGGCCAAACATGAAAGCGGAGATTGCTACCTACGTGGGCAAGTGCTTAACTTGTGCCAAGATCAAGGTAGAACATCAAAAGCCCTCAGGTCTACTCCAGCAGCCCGAAATACCTGAGTGGAAGTGGGAGCAGATTACCATGGATTTCATATCCAAACTACCCAAGACGCAAGGTGGTCGCGATACCATTTGGGTGATCGTCGACAGGTTAACCAAGTCTGCCTACTTCTTGCCAATCAAGGAGACCGATAAGATGGAGAAACCAAGAAGAACTTACATCCGGGAAATCGTGTGATTGCCTGGAGTGCCGATATCTATTATCTCAGATAGAGATAGTAGATTTACATCACAATTCTGTCAATCACTACAGAAAGCCTTGGGGACTAGGCTAGATATGAGTACAGCCTATCACCCACAAACTGATGGACAGAGCGAGAGAATTATCCAAACCCTAGAATACATGTTACGGGCTTGTGTTATAGACTTTGGTAAAGCGTGGGATATCCACCTACCATTAGTTGAATTCTCGTATAACAACAGTTATCACACTAGCATCAAGACTGCTCCATTTGAAGCCCTCTATGGCCGCAAGTGCATATCACCTCTGTGCTGGGCGGAAGTGGGTGACATGCAGTTGGCGAGAGGTCTAGTCCCTGATAGCACTCTCACTGGCCCAGAAATCATTAGAGAAATGACTGTGAAGATCTTTCAAATCCATGAACGACTGAAGGCCTCAAGAGATAGACAAAAGAGCTATGCCGACAAGAGACGAAAACCCTTGGAATTTCAGGTTGGTGACCGCGTTCTACTAAAAGTCTCACCCTGGAAGGGCATGATACGCTTTGGAAAGCATGGAAAACTAAATCCAAGGTACATTGGACCCTTGGAAATTTCTGCCAGAATTGGTCGAGTAGCGTATAGACTCCAACTACCACTCGAACTTAACAATGTACATCCTGTGTTTCACGTATCAAATCTGAAGAAGTGTCTACCTGATGAAACTCTTGTAATTCCACTCGAAGAGATCGAATTGAACGAAAATCATAACTTTGTGGAAGAACCCGTCGAAATCATGGATAGGGAACTCAACCGAACAAAGCAAAGTCGCATACCAATAGTGAAGGTTCGCTGGAATGCTAAACGGGGACCTAAATTCACTTGGGAGCGAGAAGATCAGTTGCAACAAAAGTTCCCGCATCTCTTCCCTCGTCCATAAACTCTTACCTTGTAAATAATTTCAGGACGAAATTCCCTTTAACGGGGGGATGATGTAACAACCCGATATTTCAAGTCAATGTAATGACTTAAAGTAAAATATTGCAACCTATTTTTAAGTTAATAAAATAGCGTCAAAAATGAAATGTTTAAAAATCTCAATTTGGATGTACCAAGTGGTAGATATCGTAACAAGGTTTTCAAAAATATAAAGAACACTAAAATACGAGTTGTAACGAAGAAGCTATGACCAATAGAATATCCGCAACAAAATCTATAAAAAACCCTGTTAAGCATATAACGCGAAATTTCAATAAAATACTTTTTAGCCTTAGATATCTAAATGAAATTCGTAGATATCATTAAACCATAAAAATATATAAAAAGAACGTCCAAATCTGACTTTGTATGAGGAAGTTATGATTTTCCTAAGTTTCAGATATAGTAGTAGACAACTAAAAACTCGAAATGGAGATCGACCGACTTTTAGCCAACGCAATCTAAATGAGAATCGAAGATCTCGACAATAGTAGTACAACGGTAAAAAGACAGTCGAAAACGGACGTCGGATGAAGAAGTTATGGATTTTTAACAGACTTTTCCAGTCCCGGCCTGTTAAAAATATAATATTAAAATAAAGTCAAAACTAGCCGACGGAATATAAACGAAAGTTGTAGAGCATAATCTCACATACGCATAGATACAAAGAACGTCGAAATCGGAACTCGTATGAGAGAGATATGAATTTCTGAAGTTCGGGACACGAAACCCCACATTGTCAGGAAACTCACGACGTGAGCCTGAAGCTCACGACATGAGCTGGTGACTGATGTCTGCCAGGGTCGGGCTATCAAACGTCGAGTCTACGGAAGAGATAAGACCAAGGTCACGACGTGAACATGTGGTTCACGACGTGAATACCCAAAATGCACACTATAAATGATAATGTACATGACATCCTCCGCCCCCGAATGTTTCCGTTGTTCAGGTTTGGGGGTGTGACATCACGTCTTTCTCCAAGTCTATTACTATAGGGATTTCTGTGTATGTTGTAATTCATGTGGTTTTATGATCATCGTGGATAAAATATTGGATATGGAAGTTTGGATTTTGATTGTGCTCTGTTGATCAATGGACTGATTAATGATCTTTATGTATCATTTGAATTTTGTTATTCAGCTCAGGTACCGTGTGACAGGGGCTAATTTAGAAATCAATCCATCAGTTGGTCAACGAATTGGGTACTACATCTAGTATAACTTTTTAATGAGGTTTGTGATAAGCCCTAACTTTATTGGTTAATAGCATAGGGGTATTTATGTCATTTATCTATTTATTTTCCTATTAGTGAGTCTACAGCTAAGTATGGCTATTATTGGTTGTTTTGTTAGTGGGAACAGCTCGTGATTATGTTGGCTGTTATTCCCTTTTGTCTTGTCTCTTGTGGTAGTATATATAGTCTTTTTGTTTTAGTGAGTTAGTAGCTAAGAATTGATTTGTAATGAACTTTGTTCTTCTTGGAGAGGCCATTCCTCTCAAATTAATGGAAGTCAGTCTTTGATTTTATTCTAGTTTGATTATTAGTTCAAGAGTGTATCAGGGCCTATCAACTGGTATCAGAGCATTCAGTACTGTAGAAGGAACAGAAACTAGAAACAGAGTTTGCAAGGTGATGGGAGAAATCCTTCAAAGTCATGTTGAGATTTTTACGATGATGAACCAACTCTTGGAGAAAGTTGAACTTGCCACTGGAAGTAGAAAAGATGAAGTTGGAATATCTGAAGAAGAAGAGGTTCGATACTCGTCAATGGAGATGCATCATCAGAACAAGATAAAGAGATATAAAGAGAGGGAGGCTGAGATAGCTAAATGGAGAGAGTAATACTGCTCAGAGGAAGGAATGGAGGCTGAAAAGGCTAAGTGGAGGAAGATTTATTACTCTACTTTGAAAGAGAAAATGAAAGAGGTCCACGAGGAGGAAGAATATGTATCATCAAAACTTTCTGAGTCAGAATCGGAATCCGAGTCAACACCGCAGCTTCCACCACCACCACAACTGCTACCACCGCCGTCTCAAAGTCACCCATGCCCTCCCCCGCCGATGATGGTGTTGCCGTTGTATCCACCAACTTCACCGCCGTTGTATCCGCTATCTCTAGGGTTCAAGAAGAGAAACGAGGCTACAAGTCTGATCATGGCAAGCCCAAATCAGAGTGGTAGGAAGTCGGAGATGCCCATGTTCGACGGTAACACCGAGAGTTGGATAATGGAGGCTGAAGTGTATTTTTTGTTTCACAAATCGCTTGAAGATGACAAGTTGGAAGAAGCAGTTGGGTCTCTTGAAGGTGAAGCGCTATGTTGGTATGAATGTGAGCATCGAAGGCAGCGTATACCAGGCTGGGAAGAGCTGAAGGGCTTGATTCATCGACCATGCGTGCCGTCAATGGTGGGAACATTATACAAGAAGTTGTCGGCATTTGTTCGTATCAGAATGTTGAAGGAGCAGACGACATCGTTAAAAGATTTAACAGCAAGGTTTTATCTAGGTCAACTCAGAATTGGGTTAAATTTTTTTACTTGTGCCACAATTAGAGAGTTGGGCCTATCTAAAATAGATCAGACCATGGACTCATTTAGTCCGATGGGTAACCCTTCTAAAACAGGTCAAAAAGTTATGGAGTCAGCTACGACTCTGAAGGTCAAATAAAAATCAAGAACACATGCAATTGAATCATTAACATGCCATTCACGACCTCCGTGTCTAGCTTGGCAACTATCGTTTTGGCCTCGGTAGCATCGATTTCTTCCAAGCATGATCTACAAACCCTAGAGTTTAATGAAGAGAATTTATATTTCAAAACTTCAACCCAACCTCGACACCCATCTTTCTACCAGTCCAACGTGGGGGCTGAACCAGGACAATGGGAGAGTACTAGAAAAATCATTGGAATGGAAAATATTTCAAAAGTTGATAAGAAGAGTGCTTTAGATCAGAAGTTCTTGATGCTTCTTGACAATTGCAAACATGCCCTGATCTTTACAGTAAATGATGTCGCTTCAAATCAGCTTCAAAATGTTAGTCGTGGTTTTTAAATAAAATCGATCATCCCTACAGGGGATTCGGAGAAAAACAGTAAGGAAGCTGGCATGTACAAGATTGAAACCCTTCTTCAGGTTAGGCTAGTGGGTCTGATGGATGTGGGTGTTCCAATTGATAAAACTGATCTTGAGGCCTCAGATACTTCTTTCTTCCAGGGTTTTCACATTCCTACTAAAATTAACAAAGATACCGTTGAAATCATAAACCCTATTAAGTTCACTAAGAATGCGGAAATTGGTTTGGTCCTGGAGAAGTATAAGGATAGCATGATCATTTTGTTTATGGATATGCAATTAAAAGTTGATGGGGTTGGTCTTTTGAGGAAGGAAGTGGAGATGCAGGAAGAAGCTCTGAACAATTCTTCTAAAACTAACTATAAGCTTGAGTGGGCAACACGCAAGCATCAACATGAACTGGAGAGAACCATTGCAAATTTGAGGTTGGTAAAATAAGAGAACGAGAGAGGTACAGTCAGATTCAAAGTCCAACTACAAAACTCTCAGGATGTAAACAAGTGAGAGTGGGCAAATACTTAATGTATCTATTTCTAGCTCAGGAATTTCGAAACATGGGATTGTGCTTATCTCTCCGCTTCTAGACCATGGTAATTATGTAATTAAAGAACTCGCTCTATGGATTTTGTATCTGCACCAGATGAATCCAGAGACCGAGGGGCTGGTCAAGATGGTGGCACCATGGAAGCGTGATAGTGATGCTTGGAAACTTGTACTCATATAATTATTCCTTACTCTTATTTTGAATGAATCTAGAGGAAAGGCGAGTCTCAAGGTTGATGGTGATGTTTAAACTGGGTTTGCTGTCTTTAGGGTTGCTGTAATGGAGACTAAGGAGTATGGACTGGGCTCTATTGAAATCGGATGTGTCATGGCTTACAATCGCCATACAAATAACTGCTATGCTAGCATGGCCAGTCATCAAGGAGGAAGCGTTCGTTTTCCTAGTATGCCCAGTCATGTGGTGAACTACATTTCACATGATGATGAGATGGTGAGTAGTACATGGGATCAATTGGGATACACAAAGAAGCGTTCAATGAGTATGAGGTTTCACACTTGGTTCCATGAAAAGTAAAGGAAGAAAGATCATGTGGTTCTATCTATGTTCGATGCCATCAATGAGTACACCGTGGGGCACTTGAAGGAATGTGAAGGGAAGAAGCTTTTTACAGCCACCAAAGAGGGGTTAAAGTTTCAAGAGATTGAAGAAGAACATCCCATACAAGAGTATCCTAAGAAGAAGTTTGAGGAAATTTTGGTCTATTCTTTTAAGCCATTAATGTCACACATGCAGTATGAGTTGCTTCGGGTTTACTCTTCATTATGGCCATTACACTTGAAAATGAATACATGGGTGACCTAGTATTTTCTTCACATTGAGGAGAATGTGAAAGTTTGGGCCGCCGCTATTGATAAGCCCCAACTTTACTGCTTTATAGCATAGGGGTATTTCTATCTTTTATCTATTTATTTTCCTATTAGCGAGTCTACAACTAATTATGGCTGTTATTGACTGTTTTGTTAGTGGGACACAACACCTGATTATGTTCGTTGTTATTCCCTTTCGTCTTGTCTCTTGCGGTAGTATATATAGTCCTTTTATTTTAGAGAGTCAGTAACTAAGAATTGATTTTTAAAGAACTCTTTTCTTCTTGGAGAGACCATTCCTATCGAATGAATGGAAGTCTATCTTTAATTTTATTCTAGTTTGATTATCTGTTCAAGAATGTATCAGGGCCTATCCGTTTTCCTTTAACTATTTCAATTTTCCTTTGTTATAAGTTTTGATGCATTAAAAGATGAAATAAATACAAGAAAAGGAAGATGGCCGTTTTAAGAAGTTAACTTTTGTTTCTTCATTTATTTATCTCTTTACTAACTTATTCTGGGGTTTTTGGTTCCTTTTATTAGTTTTTCTATTAAAACAAGCTAACATTGGACCCATCAAAGAAGCAACTATATTGTTTTTGCTCTGTTTCTTAATTCTTTTCCTTCACTGAAATACAGGTATTTTGTTATCTTTCCCATTTTTATTATTTTAGGGTAAATTATGCATATCACTTGTGGTGGTATAAAAAATTTATTGGTTTTCATTGATAATCATTTTGAATATGCAACCATCAATGACCTTTGTGCGTATGTGCGGTTGGTTTTTGAGTTATGTATCCATTCTCCCATTTCATACATTAGTTATTAATCTTTAAAAATACTCATCACCTAACATCGATTTCTATTTGACTGTGTTATTAGCAAATAGAAGAAGTAGCTGTAATAATTCAAGTTGTCATCTAGGTATTATTTTAATTCCTTTAACTTATAATTGCATTTGGGGGAAATATTCTCATTTTACATGTTGTTACTATTGGATTTGGTGTCTAAGCCCATAACTATAACTGGGATATACTTGACCCGATAGTAGCATGGTCCTTTTGGGTTGCCTTCACCAGTGCAATTTGATAGGATGGACTTTTGAGAATAAGGTTATTTATGATTTATTAATATATTACAAGTATAATATATTAACATGAAATCACATTATTTAATTAGTATCGATCAAGAATTAATTTGGAATTAATTTTCTGGCAAAAGAGACTAATTAAACATATGGGGATTGATTATGTAAATCAGTGATTCTTATAATGTGGGCTAATGATCCATGATTATGTAGATGGGCTAAACCAATAAGATAATCCATGGATAGTCCATGGAGGTTAAACCCATGGAGCATAAGAATGTGAAAATTCATGAAGCATTAGGGTTTACAAAGTGTAACCCTAGTATTTGCCACATTATAAATAGACCACCCCATGAGCCAAAATCGGCTACACCCTCTTTTGAGTCAAGTAAATTATTCTCTTAAAGCCTCCTCTTGCATATTGGTGATTGTGAACCATTAGAGGCATTACACTTGAGGTGCTCAAGCTTTCAAAGGTCAAGAACTCTACCTTACTCAAGAGGTAAGCATCCAAACTAAGTTTTATATTATGTAGCTTCAATTGTATGCTAGCTAGGGTGAATGCTTTGGAAAAACAAAATGCATGTATAATTAGAGAAAACATAGATCCAAAGCGTTTAGGGATGCATGTGAACCATAGGAGAGTTATAGTGCTCAAAACCCAACAGTGGTATCAGAGCCTAGGATTGTTTTCTATTATATTTGATGCTTACTAGTTTTTCAAAGCTGGAAAAGTCGAAATTTTTGCCTCTGACTGATGAACTCGCTGTCCATGAACAGACTCGACGAGTCCACTCAGTAACAGAGCAACTCGCCGAGTTCAGTTCATGCACTCGACGAGTTGAAGGCTCTTTTTGCAGAATTTCGAGTTTCTTGGCCTGGTTTGGATTGGGAACACTACCACAAACTGTTTTCGATCATTGGAATTGTTTTTTTTATGATATGGTAGTGGTTGTACTCATCCAACCATAAGATAATTGTCAAAATTTTAAAATAATTGTTGTTTTATATGATAAACAAAGTTGCTTTCAAATTGTTGACTTGAAATTATCTTGATTATAAGTTTAGTTAGATCATAGATTATGTGATAATTTTAGTTGTTAGAAAAATGATCTAGATGAATTTTAATGACCTCCATAACTTGTCCTCAAGTTATGGAAAATGAAAGGTCGCATACATGAAAATCCAATTAAACTCATAAGTTATGAATGTGAAGAGTTTTGACAAGTTTCAAAACTTGCCCTCAAGTTTTGGAATTTGTAAAGTCTCATCAATGAAACTTTAATTCCAAACCCCAGAGTTATAAAAGTTATAATTCAACCCTTATACTTTATAATATTATAAGGTTAATAAATATATATATATATATATATATATATATATATATATATATAGGAGTAGGATCAAATGAGAACACCAAAAAGGTTGAGAACGCGAGAACAAAGTATATTCATTTGTGATCCATGTATTCATTTGTGGAGAAATGATAAATTTTTATGCCTTTAATTTCAATTGAAGAGAAAAAGCATATTCATGTTGATTGTGCGTAAAAGTTTATCATTTCTCTCCACCAATGAATACACGGAATCACAAATGAATATACTTGCTCTCGCGTTCTCAACCTTTTAGGTGTTCTCATTTGATCCTTTTCGTATGTGTGTATATATATATATATATATATATATATATATATATATATATATATAAGACAAGTCAGTCTTACCGTTAGTAGGTGATAGTTTCATTTTTATTACTTCTTCTTATAGTTTATTTTTAGTTAAAACCATCTCATTTAGTTAATCTTCTTGCATATCTTCTCTTTTTGTTATTTTTCTCGTTTACCGGGTGCTTTCCAGTCTTTTGAGCTTATTTTCAGGAATTATCGAAGACTAATTGTTACTGGAGGTGTGGAAGGAGTGCGGGATAATTGGAGGCTTGTGGATCGCTTGTGAACTTGAGGTGGTGCAGTTGGGCTCGGTATCAATATAAGCAAGAAGCGCGTTGGACTTAATCTTTGGACGAGGACTCGAGCTACGGATGACAAAAGCAGTGTTAGACCATCATTGGCGGTTTTGGAATAGCACAATTGGGCTCCCAAGATTTATGCATGTGGGCTGAAGTGTGAATGAAAAGATTGGGCTGGAATATATTCTAAATGGGCCAAGTCCCACAATCAGCGAGACCCACGCGGTCCGCGTGGATCCACAAACGGTCTGTGTGGATCGTGTTGAAGTGATTCCGGGCTTTGACTTTTTGACCCTATTTTTGGAAGGTTGGTGAATGGCTTTTGGGGAGCTTTTGAATTCGGGATTAAACACTTTTTGCTGGGGATTTGAAGCATTCTTCATCAAAAAGACTTAAGAGGAACCACTCACTTTTCTCTCAAGAAGGCTTTGGAAGACTTGAAGATTTTGAAGATTAGTGTTATTTCTTTCCTTCTTGCACTTAGAACAATGTTTGGTATTTCTAAACTACCTAGTATTTCTCTTATCTTGGCCATGCTTGGCTAGATTTTCATTTTGTTGATTAGGGTTTAATCCCATGGATGATTGGTTGTTTTGAAGACTATTATTACCTTGTGATTGAAGTTTATGGAAATATTTTCTAGTTAAACATCTTTTTATGTTTGTTTATCTTTGATCATGAGCTTGGATGAATAAACATATAATTTTATTGATCAATTTCTTGGTTAAGTAATGGACTTTGAGATTGGTAAGCAACAAGTGGTTTCTATGTTTGTTTTCATTTCATTTAAACCATGTGAATGTTTCCTCCATAATGATAATGTAAGCATTTGATTATCTTATGGACTTGGTAACTCTTAGAACTCAAAGCTAATTGATTTTCACAAGATTATATGCTTCATTGATTTTGTGACTTTAAATAAGGGAATGTGTTAGAGCTCTTCTAACCATTTTAATATCTAAGAAGAGTTGAGGTAATTTGTGCTTATGAAGTGCTATAGCCAAGTTAAACCAATTCACAAGTGTTGTTCCTTTTAGTCTAATGATAAGTCAACTATGTCATCCATGTGGTTATCCAAAAATCAACCAATTCCACTTCATTGAATTTAATCAAATCGTTTACTTGTTTATTTGTCATATTTACATTCTAGCTAGTTTTATTTTTTCAAACAATCAAAAAGAATTAACCCCCCCCCCCCCATTTTACTTTTACTTTTGTTTTACAGGTACTTGAACAAGTGATTTACATAGAGATTTAAATTGAACCAATCTCCGTGGATACGACCCCTTTACCAGTATACACTATTTTAGTGTGTAATATTTAGGGTATTTATTTTGTTGGCCTCGACAACCACCAAATTCTAGCGCCAAGGTCTCATACATTAAAATCCAATTAAACTCATAAGTTATGAATGTGAAGAGTTTTGACAAGTTTCAAAACTTGCCCTCAAGTTTTGGAATTTGTAAAGTCTCATCAGTGAAACTTTAATTCCAAACCCTAGAGTTTTAAAAGTTTAAATTCAACCCTTATACTTTATAATATTATAAGGTTAATAATATACATATATATATATATATATATATATATATATATATATATATATATATATATAAGACAAGTCAGTCTTATCGTTAGTAGGCCTCATTCACGAAGCC